CCTCTGCTGGACCAGCCAGTCTCTTATTTACTAGTACTAACCCTCCTGTCATGTGTCTGCATGTTGCCTCAGGTAAAGTCTATGAACCTGGAGCAGAGGTGTGCTCTGTGTTGTCAATTAGCCAGTTATAGGATGAAATTTGTAACCTACCCGCTAGTATGCAGATTGTGTAGGTAGAGATTGTACCCTACATTTTATGGGCAATGGAAATGTTTTGGCTACTTTCTCCTTCTCTCTCCATCTCTATCACTCCAGGGGATAGTGATTAAGAATCGAGATATTTGTCAATCTGTAGTACAATTTGTTTGGAAATTAACTAGCACTAGCCAGCTCTACTTAGGGAGGCTGGCCCAATTTGGGGGCCATCGGCAAACCAAAGGGGAAGAAATGTTAAATATTTAAATATTTACAGTGGAGGGATTTCTGCTCTGGCAAAGATGGAGTAACCAAGGTCAGAATTACTCTCTTCTCTGAAACAACTAAAACACTACGCAAAATATATGAAATAATGGTTCTCAAACTATTGAACAGCAGGCAACAAAGAACAGTGTCCCTGAGAGACAGTGGAGACATGGAATAAGCTCTATTATTGCCTCTATTTACTTCCTTGAGAGAATTTCCAGTCAGTGGCAGAGGAAAAGAAACCTCAGGAAGAGTTCATGGAATTTCTGAGTTGAGAAGATAGCACTGAGAGACCAGGGAGACCAGCATAGCTAGAGTATACAGGGTGGAGTACTAAACAGTTCATGTGTGAGGAAATGGTTCTAGGTGAGGAAAACCCACAAACCTGAAAGAACAGTAGCCAGAACTCACACCGGGCCAAGAATTATACCTGTTGCCACCAACCAGCCTTAAAACCTTATAATTCATAGGACGTTAGGTAGATGGGTGGGTTCGGGACCAAAATTAACAGTAGGCTGAAGGCTTTTCTGTTCCTGCCTAACTAATTTTAAAAGCAAGACCCAAAGGATCAAATTATTTTCAAGTAACTTTAACTGTGTTCCAGGGAAAACTCAAGAATATTTATAGGAATACTAAAATGTCCAATACCCAATAAGGTAAGTTTACAAAGAGTCACATTAATTTTTTTTAAATCACCAGGCATGCCTAGAAGCTGGACAATATGACCTATAATAAGGAGAAAAATAAATAAAAAACTGACCCAGAACTCACACAGGTGTTAGAAGTAACAGAAAAGGAAATTTAAACAGGTTTTATAACTGGTTCTGTTGGATTAAAAACTAGTAGAAAGATTAAGTAAATAAATAAATATCAGGAAATATATTTTAAAAGGACCCAAATTGAACTTCTAGAGTTAAAGACTAGAATATCTGTGTTGAAAAACACTGGATAGTATTAATGACAGTTTAGACATTGCAAAAGACAAAACCGTTTAATTGAAGACTGCAATAGAAATTACACAAAATGGAACAGATAAAATGAAAAAATAAATAAAGAAGAAAGCATCAGCCTGGCCAGAGTGGCTCAGTGGTTGAGCGTCAACCTATGAGGCAGGAGGTCACGGTTTGATTCCAGGTCAGAGCATATGAGCAGGTTGCAGGCTTGAACCCCAGTGAGGTGCATGCAGGAACCAGCCAATCAATGATTCTCTCTTATGGTTGATGTTTCTATCTCTCTCCCTCTCCTTTTCTTTCTAAAATCAATAAAACAATAAATTAGAAAAAAAAGCATCAG